GAGGGAATTTAATGACGGTTGTGGATAAGGGGGGCTAGGGGAGAGATTGATCTGTAACTTAAATACTTTAGGCTGATTTTTATGCAAGTATTTATTTTGCTGCTGGTTGTTTATTATTTTCTTAGGTTTCTCTACATTCACTTAGTTGAAGTTATGCCCTCTCTTGAATTCCTTTTATTGTTACCCTAGAAAAATTTTCTGCTGACGACTTTAGCATATTGCAGACTGATAAATATACAAGGTTTTCTATTCTGTCACACTTTTCTTATTTCTTATTTTGCTATGCAGTGGTTGGAGTCAGAGGTTTCGCGCCTTAGCCATCTTCGCGATCGAGCTAGCGATTTAGGTCGCAGGAAGGAATATCCTTTTTACCCCCCTTGAGTTTATTTTACAGTTCTCATGAACATCGTGTAAGGTTAAGGTCTATGTTACCTTGACTCTGTTGTGGGTGTCTGATAGACTGATATGGGTAAACATATTGGCGTCGGAACCTTTTTACTCTAAAATCTAGGATATGTTATACATATATAAAGGATCCAAAAATTTAAACGTGGTTAAATAAACTTTGAATTACTTAAGAGATTTCTAATGATAAATGTTTATACATTTTTCCGGGATATATATGTATTATATATTTAACTGTACATCTTTAAAAAGTTCAACTGTAAATTGTGTTACTTCATTTGAATTTCATTTCAAGTCTAGAAATGTGAAATACAAATTTCATTTTAAAATAATACCAAAATAACAAAAATGATATAAAGGATCCTCTTTTGATTTAAATGATCCGAGAAGGATCTCCTACCCTTATCCTTGTTGTGTGTTTGACAATGCACTTCCTCCAAAATAGTGTCTGAGCAACATAGGTTAAGGTATAAGTGCATTTGTCAATTTATGGCTTATATTTTTTTCTTAAATGATATATATGAGTGCTTAGCATGTCAGAAGTTTGAACATGTTTCTTGCAATCGAATAGATATACGTAGTAGTCCCAATCGCTGTGTAGAAGAGTCATATATAATTCAAGTGGCGATCATCGTTGCATGTGGTTTGGTCATCACCTTTCAGAGAAGGATCTCCTACCCTTATCCTTGTTGTGTGTTTGACAATGCACTTCCTCCAAAATAGTGTCTGAGCAACATAGGTTAAGGTATAAGTGCATTTGTCAATTTATGGCTTATATTTTTTTCTTAAATGATATATATGAGTGCTTAGCATGTCAGAAGTTTGAACATGTTTCTTGCAATCGAATAGATATACGTAGTAGTCCCAATCGCTGTGTAGAAGAGTCATATATAATTCAAGTGGCGATCATCGTTGCATGTGGTTTGGTCATCACCTTTCATTTTGATCTTATATGTTACAGATGCTATTTTTTCATCTAAAGAAATGCAAGTTATCCTTGACTTGTTTTCACGCTTAGAGAGTGTGTGGAAAAATTACAACTTTTGAAGACCCCTGAAGAACGCCATCGTAGACTAGAGGAAATTCCTGAAATACATGCAGATCACAAAATGGATCCGAGCTATGAGTCTGACGATGATGGCAGTGAAGCTGACAACAGTAGACAAGGTTTCTTTCATTTTCTCGTCTTTTCCAAATGGAAAAGTTGTATTTTTGGTCCCTAACCTATTGTCCCAGTAGTAAATTGTTCCTCAGCCTTTAAAAAGGGTTCAGTTGGTCCCCCAATCTCTTTATAGTTGCTAGTGAGGCAGACCATTAAGATCTTTAAATCATCATGTGGCCCTCTCTGCATGTCCAACTCAATGAAGTTAGGTTTTGCTTTCCAACTTAGATTGGCGTCCAAAAATTTGAAACAGGGCATGCTTCCATGGAAGTCATGTGACAATACAATGTAGATTTGGATGGCTTCCCTCACTGAGGACTTGTTGTGCAACAATAATGTGAGGTTGGGGAAATTTTATTCGTTTTTGAAAGTTGGCGATGAAGTTGCTAGTGAAATAATAGGTTGGAGACCAATGGTGCAATTTTCCGTTTTCTTTTTTTCCTAATTTGGTATTTACTGCTACAGTTATGGAATGATAATCCTGAGATTGTTTTATTGGACTCAGATTCTTTGACGAGATCTAGAAGTTCTAGCTTTAACAGGAGAGGAAGAGGTCTTGTATCTCCGGGAAGTGATTATAATGCAAAAGATAATTGGAATGGCTCAGAAAATGTTTCTAGTAAGAATTGGGAATCGAGCAGAAACCTCTCAAGCAAGAGTATGTATACTAATGCTTCTCATTCTGGAGAAATGGTAAATGAAAATGTACGGAACCAAGGAAGAGACAAGAACGTTCAAGAATCTAAATTTGTTGCTTCATCTGTAACTTCAACAGTATCTCTCTCAGATGGTGTGGCAGAAACTGCTGTCAAGATAAATGAAACTGAAAAGGTTTGGCATTACAAGGATCCTTCTGGAAAAGTGCAAGGACCATTTTCCATGGTGCAGTTGCATAAATGGAACAATACAGGGTACTTCCCTGTGGATCTGAGAATCTGGAGAACCACATTAGAGCAAGAAGACCCTATACTTCTTAGTGACGCATTGGCAGGGAAATATCAGAGAGACTTACCGGCAGTTGACAATAGATTTCCAGCAATTGATTCTATGCATAATCCAGTTATCTCATCAGGTCATCCTGGTAAGGTTTCTGGAACGGCCTTGCATCAAGATATACAAAGACCGAATACTGATCAAGACCCTAGGCACCCAAAACATTCTACCGAAAATTGGGTTGGAAATGATTTGACAAACCTACCATCTCCTACTCCAAAACAAAAGAATGCAGGATGGACAGGAGAAGACGGGGTTCTTCTCCATGGTGCAACTCAATATCCCAGTGGCAATGAATTGCTTCATTCACCTACTCCTACATTACCAAACACCTTGACATACCCTTCTTCTGCTTCAGTTCTGAAGTCTGCTGTCCAATCTAGTGGTGCTTTTACTCCAACATTGAACTCTGAAAAAGGTATTTTTGCAGGAAATGTAGATTCTCTACAAATTCGGTCAAATGTGAATAGTGAACCACATTCCATACAGGCGCATGGCCATCTGCCCACTGTCGTCCAATCAGATGCTCTTAGTCTGAACCCTCGTGTTGAAACTCATGGTTTGGGCAGCGTTCCACAGTCTGGACAAGGCCAGGCCCAAGGTTGGGGTGGCATTACGTTGGATGTTCAAAACTCTACTGGAAATTTCTCAAACTCAAGTATTGCAGCTATGCCTCAACCTGATTTGTGGAGACCATCTACTCAGAGCAGTCTACCCAACATGCTGCCCCGCAGTACACAAAACATACCATGGGGCATGAGACCTGAAAATCCAAACACTGGATGGGGTAATGTGCAGGCAAATCCAAACACGGGGTGGGTAACTCCAACACCGAGAAATACAAATATAAATGTAGGATTGGCTGTTCAAGCGACAGCTCCGGGAAATACTTCTGGTTGGTTCGGTCCTTCAGGAAATCCTGAAACTACTGTTGAAGGGCCGCTTCCAGGCAATGTGAATTCTGGTTGGGTTGCAACTCCAAGTTGGGGGGGTGCTCCAGTTCAAGGGCCAGTACCCGTACCTGAGAATGGGTGGGGGGCACCTGGTGGGAATTCAGGATTTCCCATTCAAGGACTAGCACGAGCAAACCCGAATCAAGGTTTTGTTGCACCAGCTGGGAGCCAAGGTACGTGGGGAGGTGAACAAAACCACAATGGAGGTCAATTCTCCAGTCAAAGGGAAACGAGAGATTCTGGTTTTGGTGGCAGGGGGACTACTTGGAGCAGACAGTCGTCATTTGGCAGTGGAGGTTCTAGACCTTTCAATACACGGGGCACAGTTTGTCCATACAATGCGAATGGGAGATGTAAGAAAGGGATGAATTGTGATTATCTACACACCTAAATAGGAAATTCATAGCTGTCGTTCATTGATGGTTTTGTACAGTCATTTAATACTAGTGTTTCGACTTTTTACTGTAGCCACAGACCATCTAGTTGTTTAATAAATTGGTACACAAGTTTTATTAGTTAATGCATATTTACTCCAGTAACATGTCAATCATCAGTTTCCATAATCCCCACTCAACCTGTCCGATCTTTTTTGCTCCAGTGGAACACAAGTTTCTTGTGTCTTGATTGAAGTTTGGGATCTTAGAATATGCTACAAGAATTTTCCTGGGTAGCCCAGTTGAGAGTTGCACTTGTTGGAATGTAGTCTGAAGAGTTAAAGCCTGGAGTCAAGAGGGGACTGTTCGTGTTTAAAGGATCATAATGTTGCTTCATTCCTAAATGTGTGGGGGTGGCGCTGTGTTTTTGGAATGCTGAAAAGCAAGTTTTGATGCTTGCATTATGCCAGCCTGGGTTATACAGCATGCATAGTCTACTTACAAGTTTCTTTTTTGTATTATTTTTAAAAGTAAATGAATTACTGTTCTTATAAACCTAAAGAATTATGATATTTTCCTTGTATTCTAGCAATTTGAGCTGTATGGTTAAATTTAGCCCGTTTCAGCCCAATTTTGAAGTATAAATTTGTGAAATGTCATTTTTTTTTTTTAAAAGATTGTATAGTTAAAAAGGAGACTAAATTTTTGAGTTTAAATATAAAATTATTTTATTGAGAGAATGTTTTGTTAAAAATGAATTTTAAATAATGAGGCTCAAACAAGAACTTGGCAAGTTAACTTGTATTTCTTTTGTCAAAATTATTTACTTTCACAATAATTTAAGAATTATTTTAAAGAAAGTACCGTTTTTACTTGAAAACAAGTCTTTTGTTTGAGCTCAATTCTATAAAAATTTATTTTTTTGAAACCCATTTTCAAGCACACATTTTTTCAATAAAATAATTTCACACATAAATTAAAAATTGTTTTCTACTTCTAATCGCACATTTTTCATAAAATCACCATTACAAAATCTATTCTACCAAAAAAATGGACTCAAACAAACCCGTGGTTCTGTTCTCAATATATTCGTGATTTTCTCCAAATGGACATTTATTTTGAAGTGTTATGTTTTGTTCAGCCGGTGAAAAGGTGCACGTGATATTCAAAAAATGCATGGTGAACTAATGTTTGTCACAAATTTAGCCCTTGTTAATGAGTTTTTCAAAAATATGTATTTTTGAATGGTAATTTTTTGGAGAATATTTTGTTAAAAAATAAGAAAATGTTTTGAATTTAAGTCTAATATTATTTTTATTGAAGAATGCATGATTGAAAAATAGAAAGAAAAAAATATATTAAAATTAAAGTGAAACCTAAATAGAACCCTTTTATTTGTATCTCAAAGTGAAAAGGATTTCATTCTCTTACTTCGTTATGGGTGGATTTCATTGTCTCATTCTTTTGAAGATTTCCATTTGTACAGAAAACTGTTCCACAAAATTCTATCAGAAATCTCACATGTGTGATATTCATTTTATGATAAAAAAAAAAAATGCCTTATGGTTCCTGCGTGTGTAGCAAGCTTCCATACTTTTATGGGTGTCTAAAGATTGGGGAATTTGAGACACCTATAATTGTTTTCTTGGATAGGCAGATTCCATAATTGTTTTCTTGGATAGGCAACTATATATTTTCACTTAAAACTAAGGTTAGAAATTTCACTAACAGGCAAATGTGTCTTTCCACTTAAGATTAAATTAGAAATTTCACTAACTTTGAATATATTGCGAAAAATGTAAAAGAAAAATTAATATGAATTCAGATAGAAATTACCATTTCTCCTTGGAATATTATCATGGGGTCCCTTTTTTCTTTTAGTATGATGATTCCATCTAGGTCTGGACGTCCAATGGTCGGTTTAGGTATTGCAATACTTTGACATTATTCATTACACTTCAAGTATTTCGTAAAATGGAACCATTCAGGTTCATGTAATTATCATAATCAAACTCAATCCCAAACATTGGTTTTGGTTTTGTTTCAATTTTGTCTGTAATATATTCTTTTAATCATGAGTTGATAATATAAATTATCTTTTCAATATCTAACATAAAAAGAATAAGTAAAATATGTAACCAAATATATATTTCAATACTCTCGTAACTCAATGCAAATATGTAATCAAATAGCATAATAACATTTAATTTCGATTGTGGCAATGTGAGAAGTGCCTCAAGAATGGTTGTGGGTCGACAGTACGTAAAATGTTGTTGAAGTGACTACAGACAAAAGTGATGTAATTCAATTATTGATAAGAATAGAATTGATTGATTGGGAGTACTTATTATTTGGGTTTTATAAACTTGTTGCCTATTGGGTCGAGTCATTGGGTCATGAATAAATTGCAAAAAAATTTAAAAAAAGGAACATATTCACTTTCAAAGTAGGGTAGCAACGATTCGATTCAAGAAATAAAAATTATTCGAGAACATATTGGAATCTCTGATTTTGATTTAGGAGATTTAATATCGACTAAAATGCCCACCTCTTATTCCATCTCAAATCATGACCAAAATTAACAACCATACCACATAGATGACATAATGCATGAACTCTGGTACATTTTTATGTTGAATCAACCATTTTTCAAAAACGAAGAAAACGAGTGAATAATGAATTTGTCATTGTCATATTTGTTTTAATTTATCACAAAAATTAATATAGGGTAATTCCACGAGTTCGGAATTCACCTCATGTCTACCTACTATTTAGTCACACTAATGCATAAAAAAATTGTTTATTTAGTGACAAATGAACAATGAGTCAAGCATTCCAACCATGGTTAAACTATCTTAGAATCTCAAGCTCCCATATGTCAAAATTAAATGTCCAAGCCATTAGTTTGGATCACGTTTACATAAAATAATGGTTTAATTGAAAAAAAAAATAAGTAAAGTGATCAAAATAATATAAATCTAAGTTGAATGACCGACATAAATAAACTGGTAAGTTGAGTGACCTTCAATGAAATTTTCCAATTTATTTATTTATTATGGATATTTCCGTTCGTAGAACAAAAAGGACCCTGAATTCGAAATCACAAACCAAATCAAATCAATTCAAAGAACGAGCTGTCTGACTCCTCAATCTCGTTCTTCGATCAAATCTCCATCTCTGTTCTTCTGCATCTATATCATCAAAATCTATATATATTTCTCTCTGTTTGCATACATTCAAATTCAAACTCCTTCGATCGGTTCGTGAATGGAAGCAATTAGAAAACAAGCCTCTAGACTCAGAGAACAGGTCGCTCGTCAACAGCAGGTGATCTCTCTCTCTCTCTCTCTCTCTCTCTCTCTCTCTCTATATATATATATATATATATATATATATATATATATATATATATATAGACACACACTGATTTTTTTCCGTATTCGTGTACGGTTTTGAAACTCAATCGGATCCATGGTGCATTTTGCATTTCATTGTAATTTGGAGATCTGAGTGAATTATCTATTATTTGATAACATTTCCTTGAAATTTATGGTTATGTTTGTGATATTTAGATTTATCTAGATTATATCGGTTTACCAATGTTTATGATGATCTCTTCGATTTAGGTTTCGTAGTGGTCTTTTTAATTGGGTTCATTTAGATGGAATTGAGTTTTTGGTGGCTTGAGGTACTGTGTACGGTAATTAATTTATCTAGCTTATCCAGATGGGTGTTCAACTCTGAGATTCTTTTATTTGACTGGGTAGAAAATTGAATGCTGTGATTAAGTCCTATCCCTGAAAATAATTCAAGGATGTGCATACAATATGCCCAGGGTTTATTTTGATTTGGGGCTCAGATTTTCTTTATTAACTAACTATGCCAATATTGTAGGACAGGTACAACTTTATTTTTCTGCTTCAAGCTCTACACGATGTAGTTTTTTGCTTTACAATTATTTTACTTTTGTTACTTTTGCTTTCTATAACAAGTGCTTAGCGTTCAAAAAAAAGTAGCATGACATTGAGATTGAGATTCGTTTCAGGCTGTCCTTAAGCAGTTTGGGGCAGGGGGATATGGAGGTCCAGACAATGTTATGAATAATGATGGCGAGTTCCAACAGCATCAGAAACTTGAGAAGCTTTACATATCCACTCGTGCAGCCAAGGTTAATTTTTTACTCAGTTTCTTCAATTATGATTTTTTGTCAAGCCTTTACAAGCTAGATCTGCAGCTGAATTATTATATGCCTTTCATCTATACGCAGACTTTGCAAAATTCCATTTGCTGCCATGTATAATGCTCAACTTTCATTTGGTGTACTTTATGCATGTGTGTGACCAAGTGCATGCAGGTGCATGCATTCACATACTTATTAAATTTAGTTGCATGGACTCCATGGCCTCAGTAAATACCATCAGTAGCCTCAGTTTAATAGTGTTGATGGCAAAATTTAGTTGTCTTATTAAAAATTTGTCTTCTATTTCTGTTTTTCAGCATTTCCAAAGGGACATTGTTCGTGGTGTTGAAGGTTATATAGTTACTGGGTCCAAACAAGTTGAGATTGGTGATTAACTAAAACTGAAGGGAATTTTATCCTTTATACTTAAGTTTTATTAATGCAAGTTATTGGTGTTCATATCCTTTATATGTTCACTTCAACTCAGGAACTAAGTTATCAGAAGATAGCAGGAAATATGGTGTTGAGAATACTTGTACTAGTGGTAATACCTTATCAAAAGCCTCAACCAGTTTTGCACGAGCTCGTGCTCAAATGGAGAAGGAACATGGAAATCTTTTAAAAGCCTTTGGCACCCAGGTTTTATTTGTGGCCTTCTCCTCTTTAACTTATTGTGATTGATATTAATTTTAGGTATGATAACCAGGCACGTGTACGTCTGTACTTTCTGATGTGAATGTGTGTGGTAGGACTTTTGCAGAAACATCACGTGACTGCCCGTGTTAGCCCATCACAGTATTCAATTTCACTCTGAATCTCATCAGGCTTATTTTCATAGATTGTGCCTGGCAAATATCTTTTCCATACTTCTTACATGCATATTTTTTTCTTCATCTACAAATCATGGCTCACTGTAGCGTGGTTCTCACTGTTTACACATATTTTTGAATTGCTACTGCTAGCTAACTCGCTTAACTTTCACCTATCACAGTTATTTTACAATAAAGGAAGGTGGGGTGTTAGTTGTCTTTGTTTATGAGATGTGTTTCAGCAAAAAGTTGAATGGAGGATCAGACTGTTGGAGGATGAATTTTTTACTTTAGCCTTTATGCTTCATGTCGTGGTTCTTTTAGATTTTTGTTTTGTTTGGTAAAGTTCCGATTTCTCATTCATTAGGTTGCAGAACCATTAAGAGCAATGGTAATGGGAGCTCCTTTAGAAGATGCTCGTCATCTTGCTCAACGATATGATAGAATGCGACAAGAGGCTGAAGCTCAGGTGCTTACAAATAATTATTTTACTGTCTTCGTGCACATTTTTATCTGGAGCTTCTGTGGCTATTTGCAAATTTTATGTTTCGAATTTTCTCTAAATGTTGGTCTCCTTCACAAGGCATCATGTGATGGGTCACCTTTACTCAGCTTGGAAAAGGGCTCCATGCGTCATGTAGCACTGTCCTAGTCCATCCCTGCTGAACTCACTGTTGCATCACAGTCACTTTCAGCTGCAATTATGTGAATGAATGCAATAAAAAACACATTATCTAAGCATAGTTGGAAGCAAAGGAAAATTCATTTCCTTCATGGCAGCACCTATTTGAGCCCCATTCTTTAAAACTCATTTTCTCTAAACTCATTTTTCTCCAAACTCATTTTTAACCACACATTTTCCAATAAAATAATTTTGCACGTAAACTAGAACTTTTTAACCACATTCTCCAAAAAATAAATAAATAAAATCACTTTTTACAAAATATATTGTCAAATAATGGGGCTAAAGAGGGGCTATAAAGCTATACAAGGGTAGAGCATGCGGTGAGGGAGCTTGATGTAGGCTTATGGCTGATTGGTTCCAAGGAGCTAAGTTGTGAGACGGTTGGCACGTTGTCAAGTTGTTTCTGTAGTTGCTTAATATATTTCTATCTAAATACTGTAATCAAGATTGTTATAGGTAGTTTATTGTAACATCATAAACCGCCATTTATTGATGATATATTTTTCACACTTGGTAGGCTGTTGAACTTTCCCGAAGACAAGCAAAACTAAGAGAAGGAACTGGCACCCCTGAAATGGCTTTGAAGCTAGAAGCATTTGAATCTAAATTGCAAGATCTGAAGTCCAATGTGGCTACGCTAGGGAAAGAAGCTGCAGCAGCTATGGCTGCTGTAGAGGCTCAACAACAGAGGTTAACACTGCAACGATTAATAGCCATGGTAATGCAACTTTGCCTTTATTATGTATCAGGACAAAATGTTCCACTGACTGCACTAGAAAATCAGCCTTATTTATCTTCTGTTTCGTTCTTCTTCACATTTTAGGTTGAAGCAGAACGTGCTTACCATCAGCGAGTTCTTCAAATACTTGATCAGTTAGGAGGCGAGGTATGCATAATTTTTTTCTTGTCGTGGAGGAGGAAAAAGCTATTCAAGCTGCTCATTTTAAAGCTTCAGAAGTCCTAAAGATGAAGAATTATTTCTGTTTTCAAATTTAGATGATGTCAGAGCGCCAAAGAATTGAAGCAGCTCCTGCTCCAAGCATGGACAGTATGCCTCAACCTCCATCATATGAAGAAGTAAATGACATATCTACTACACCAGTGCAAAACGGGTCAACAGATAGCATGGGTTACTTTCTAGGCGAAGTAAGTAGATAATTATGTGTCTAATAAATAATGGTGGCTCACTTGGTGATGGCTGTTTATTTCTTTTCAATTTCATGTATTCAATAACAGGTCATGTACACATATCAAGCTGAATCTGATGTGGAGCTTAATTTGTCAATTGGAGATTATGTAGTTGTTCGAAAGGTTAGCTACCATTGCCTGAATAATTTATCTGCAATTAGCCTTCTAATAGTTTATCCAATAAAAATTTTTTATTCGTCCATTACACACTCAGCAGGTCCTTGGCCACATTTTTCTCGACTGCACCCAACTAACATATTGAAAGTGCAGCTGTTAGCAGGCAATAGATATCCAAATCCCTCTCATACGTGCTTCAATTTAAGTTTAATAGTCCCATGCATGGTAGACACACTGAGTGATTATCCTCTCGGCTGTATGTGTGCATGTATATACAGGAATACATAAAGAAATTCTTGATATTAATAGTCGAATCTTCACTTGTCTGCATATACTCTTATTTATTCTGTTATCCATTATAGTATTCTCTCACATCTATCTTAACATCTTTATTTTAACCAGTCGTCTTATTGAAATTTTATCATTTAAGAACTTCACGCCCAAGACAATATAGTATAGCAGGTTTAGTAACTGTTTTGCATAGTTGATCCTTCGATCAAACAGATATGTTCTGCTCCCTTGAACAGGTTTCAAACAATGGCTGGGCTGAAGGTGAATGCAAAGGAAAAGCCGGTTGGTTTCCATTTGGGTACATCGAAAGACGAGAGCGTGTTCTTGCAAGCAAGGTAGCTGAAGTTTTCTAAACTGTTGTGCTAGTCTGAGTTTTAACGAGTTTTGTTGCAGTTGTGTATCCCATGATATATACGCATTCAATGTTGTCGAGTACATGAAGAAAAGACCACTTGTCTGCACCTAATGTGTTAACATATGAATAACCATCTACCGTTTGTTCTTAACCGTTGATGTATTGCCTGTTGTCATGTTTTTGTTCGATTTTGTTTAAAGGTTTTATTTTATGTGGAGAGAGTAGAGACCATGTTCATTTGTTGTGTTGAAATTGCTATTCTAAACTGTTCACTTGCGAACGTATGTAACCTCATAGCAATAGTACTTCGGGAGTGGTTATTCCACACCCTCAGACTTGTACTTAGTTACATATCTTTCCGAAGAGACTGTTATGGCTGCCTGTGTTTTAAGGATGGCTTTTAAGATGCTTTTGTTGGCACCACGTGCAGTTTAGCCCCCCCATTATTTGGATTTATAATGGAGGGAATAGTATTTTTTTGAAAAATTGATGGTTGTAAAAGAATGAAAATTTTTTCTATTTGCGTGAAATATTATTTTATTGAAGATTGTGTGATTGAAAATAAGAGAGAAAATTTAAATTAAATTGATGAATTTTAAAGGGGCCAAACGGGACACAGTCCCTTTAAAGAACAGTTAAAACTCTAAAAGTAGCTCTTTCTCTCACATACACACACCTGCCTACAATACGGCTCCCCGAGCCTCTCATTCTGTGTTGTGTATGCTATCATTTTTAGGGTCAGTTCTTAGTAAGTACTCAGAAACAAAGATGCTATGATTTCTGTTTGGCCCCCATTAAATTAAATTTCATTTCTCTCTCATATTTTCGATTATACAATCTTCCATAAAATAATATTATACGTAAATCGAAAAAAAATCTTTTTCAACCATCTATTTTTGACAAAAATACTATTGCACCCATTTTAATTTGGAAAAATGGGGTCCAAACGGGGCTAAGTTTCAAATAACTTCAATGACCACTGATAAACAGAAGCCCAGTTAATAGTTGCAAAATATCAAATAACCAAAAAGGATATTTTGTAGTTCTTTATTCTTCATTCAAATTATGCTCGAATTATAAAATGTAAATTGAGTAATCAGTATTAGTTTTGGAAGGACAGCTTAGATCTAGGGCAACATCAATCCTGACCTTGTAACCTTACTATTATAAAGGGTATATTTTCCAAGCGAACTTACAATTTTAGCATGAAAGTGAAGTTTGATGTCAACCAGAAACGCAGAATTTCTGAAAATTCAAAAGGTGCTTCTGAAATTAAGAAGTTGCTTTATAACATGTTTAGATATGATTTTTTAAAAGTATTTATCTTAATGTAAAAACTTTTAAAAATAATTGATCTAATGTAACTTTTTCATGAAATTTCTTTACAAGGACCGGAAGCAAAAGTCTAATCAAAAGAACACTTGAAAGACTATAAATTGATATATGGAACATTTGATTATAATTTTGAGAAACTCAGTACAAACAGAGATGAAAAGGTACAAGCAACGCTTCAGTTAGTAATACAATACTTTCAACTGCACAGTAGGGGCGGATCCAATACCTGGCGAGCTAGGGCGGCCGCCCTAGCTGGATCCGCCGGAGTCTTCATAGCCGCCGGGACCAACGAGTGGAAGTTGCAATCTCCAGAAGCTTGAGCGCAGAATGGAAGGGAAGACAACAGAGTCACAGATGATTAAATTATGTTGCAACCGACAGCTTGGTTTGCACTTTGCAGTTGCAGACTTGCTCAGCCATGGAGGAAGTTGCAGACACACGAAGAAGAACCGAAGAAGACAACGTTTTTTTTTCATTTTTCTTTTGGGCTGATGACAATTGAATGGGATGGGCCTTTTTTGTTTAAAAACAATAGGCCCAAATCCAATTGCCAAAATCCAAATCAATGAATCATTATCAATTCATGGTCATTTTCAATTTCCCCTAAATCGTAAAAGGCAAACCTAAGGGCGAAGGGCGATTGGCAGAGGCTGAAGCACGATTGAAACCACAAAGTTGCAAACTCTTTACCTAATTGCCTAATTCCATAATCAGTGGCGATTGGCGAATCCATTCGAAGCAGCAGATTTGATAGTATTTTATATTGTCCAAGGATCCTATTGCTTTATTTTCACAAAGTTTCGTTTCTTGGAACTTATTGAAAATTCTGGCTTCTCTGGGCAGGAATGCAGGGGATTTTTTGGAATTCTTGTATAATCTTGAGCTCTGATTGATCTACTTGAATTTGTGGGGTTTCAAGCATTCGAAGTGTCTTTTACATTTATAATGGAAGTTCTACCTTTTTTTAGCTTTTTTATTACATTATAATAATTATTATTATTATAATAAGTTTATACTTTCTGTGTTAATATTTGTTGTGTTAGGGCCATTTACGGAGAAGGGTATTCATAAATTCTATCTCTTTGTGGGGGTTGGAAGCTTATTGTTGTATTCTCAGTGTGTAAGCAGGTGAATTTTTCCAATTAAAGAGGACGAATTTTATGGTCAAAGAAGAAGATTTAGTGGTGAACTTAATTAGATTGTTGACAGTTTTGTGCTTTACATATTTTGAGCCAAGCTGCGAGTACGAGGACGTCAACTTCGTGTTGAATTATATGTGAGTGGCCTTGAGCCTTGACACCCTGACCACGACCTTGTATGGTATTATTTATTTATTAGGCTAATTTTGCCAATCAATTTGAGCATTTTCTGGCCAATGCAGGTCAACTATCTTGCTGATTGTAGTCTTGAGATTTTGGATGATCCTTTGGTGACTGCACTGCTCGAGGTACTTAAGTTTCGTAAATTTAACTTTGAAATTGTGACATTATTCTTAACCATGGAGTTGGACTTTTTAGCTAGTTGGTCATCTGTTACCTTTTATAGTCATACAAAAGAAATATTAGGTCTGTGAAAGATTCTATTGTAGAGTTTTTTTTCTAGAACTGTTGATATTGCTTGCATATTAGGAGTCTCTACTCCAGAGGCTAAGATGTATAGCCAGTAACCTGTGACTTAAGATATATAGAAGTTATTAAGAAGATCAATAGATCATGGATCACAGACATTAGAAACATTATTTTCTCTTGGTTTTCATAATTCTTGAGGAAGGGCACTCTATTATAGTGGTTGACTGTTGACGGTCAAAGGTCAACTACCGACCGCCCTAGCTGACTTCCATTTCTGGATTCGCCACTGCTGCACACTCGAAAAACTTGGCTTTTCTCTCTACGTTATTCGCACAATACGAGAAAATAGGACTTTGTACATTAAGCTGGTACTTGGATGCTTCCTAGAAAGTAGAAACCAATCCTGTGGGTAAGAATATAGCATATCAGCAAGAAATAGAAAATTATTTCCGTGTAGCAATTATTCGATCTTTTGCAGAAACTTACACATATTTTACGTACGAGTTGAAGACAAGTAAGCGAGAAGAATAGCGAGTATGATGAAGATGATAACAATCTGCAGTGAAATTAGAACGGTAAAAAAAATATCGCAAAACAGATGCCCGGTCAAAGAAAAACCAAAGTGAGAGAGGTCGTGACACTCACCGAAGTAGCATTGTATCTAGTCTTGGTCCTAATTATGTAAGATTTTCTGGGGTAATTCGAAAACATTAGCAAAACATTGAAAATTTGCCTTTAGAGGATAACTTTAGGGAGAGAGAGAGAGAGACTACCTTTCGTTTAAGGTTCCAGAGTCCCTGCATGTTTTTAAGATTGCCTCTAGCCGATCCTTCGTTTTTCTAGCATTAGGATCATTGTCGTCAACCTACAAAAATGAGCACGTGTAAAAATAAGACTTGCAAGTAACTAAAATTTGAATATCCATGCCCGGAAAAGTCTTCTTGAAGATGGAAACAATAAAATTCATAACTAAATTTTGAATTTGCATGCCAAGAAAAGTCAATCAGAAAAGGAACACACCAATATTTTCCACTTTCCATTGTAGGTGTAGGTGCCAAATAAAATTTATCTAGAATAGGAAATCGGAATTTCAGAGGTTTGGTATAATTGTTGTAAAATCTAGTCTCCTAGATGTAAACAAACACCAAAGGTATCGTTAAACATCGCCTAATACCAATGGTCCAACACAAAGATTTCAACTTTGAGAGGAGGTCTTCAAAAAATCATATACAAAATTCTACAATTCGTGAAATTTATTAATGAATTGTTGGAGAATCATCATGTCTAATTGAATTCATAGCAGCTAAATGTTGGCATATTGATCAGAAAGTTCCACGCATGCTTTATTCATTTATATGCAAATTAAGCATGGTAATATGACGTCTCTGCATAAGTCTATATTAAAATGGAGTCCATTCATACAAACAACACAGGTTCGCTTGGTCTACAATAGAAGCATCATACCTTGGATTTCAACATTCGACAGAAGTCGTAAAAAGCTCCATATACATCTGACATTGTTTTGGTTCCATGGATAACTCTAGCAGTAAGACCTTGGAAGAAGACACCAAGACAGAAAAGAATAATAATAAGCATGAAATATTTAAGTGAAAATACAACAAAATAAATGATGTCTCAGTACCCTCTCTACCACCA